GATTGTCAATTATGTTTTTCTTAAAGCAAACGTTATGATGTACACTTCACTAATGTTAACATTACTGTTTGTTATTATTAATTTTTAGACCTGTTCCGTTTTTTTTGTTTTTCGTTTCATTTTTTTACAAGATTCTTTTTTTCGAATTTTGTTTTTTGTCTTGTATTTTCTTTCCACAAAATTCGGTAACATAGTATAAGTAAATAAATATGGCTATTTACAAAAATAATAGAAAACTACTAAAAAAAATAAAGTTGGCGTAATATTCATTGGCAGTATCGATGTGTAAAGGACACTGTGAGAATCGAACTCGGAATCTCCAACATAAAAGGTAAGCATGCAGCAGAGTCCCTTATCGGAAATAAAGAATTTGACATCATTTTTAAATTCCGTACCTGAAGCATTACACTGTAAGCGCCATTTTTGTAATTTTACGGGGGAAGCGATTTTGTGTCGAAAAGCAATTTGTACGACAATTAGGGTAGCTCGAAAGGTTATTAAAACTCAATTAGTTTTATTTCAAGCCATTCTGAATGTTGTATATGCTGCATTTCGACACAAAATCGCGTCCTCTATAAAATTACAAAAACAACACTTACAGTGTAATGCTCCCCAGGTACGGAATTATTGATCCGAAAATCGAATATAAAGAAAAATTTCTTTCATCTGACTGAACTCGAACCAGTGTCTGTTGCCATGCCAAGGCCACCACTCTTAACCAACTGAGCTACAGATCGAGACTGTTGGTTAAGAGTGGTGCGGAGCAGTTAGATCGAAGGAATTTTCCTTTGTGATCGATCTTTTGTCAATAATAACAACTAGAGTATTTACACAAAAAAAAATCATGATACCAAGTGACAGGACGAATAAGTCGTGCGGCTGGTGGTAAGCGACACGCCTATCCATAACAGTTGCAGGGCACTGCGAAAAATTAGTTGCCACTCAGAGCTTTAAATCACAAAGATCTTAGAGGCACTGCCAATGCGCCCGCCACCCTGACACATAAGTTGACAAGTCCCATGTGCTTGTATTTTCACCAGCACCCTTACCCTACCAAACCGGAACACAGCAACGATGACATTACTGCTTGGCGGCAGAAATATATAAATAAGATGGCAGTACTTCCTTAGACGAACTCTTTCACAAGGACCTCCACTTCTACCAAAAAATATATAACGAAAATCATGGTAGTAAAGTCATGACATTACCATAAGCTCTTTCTTCAGTTCAGCTAGATAGCTAGTTGCTAATGAAATCATTATCACTATTTATAATTTATTACAAGGGCATGGCCTCTTATTATTTTCCTGAACATTGAGAAAGATTCCCCACTCCATGGTCATGAGGCAGTCATTCAACTATGAGTCACCCTTTATACGTCATTATAGTCCAAAATGTATAATTCATAGTAGGAAACAAAATAAATAATCACGATAACCTTAAAATCTAGTGATCAATATGGTAATTTTATAAGACTCAAGTCTTATAAAATTACACACTCAGCATAGGGGCTATGCTGAGTGTGTGCGTTATTATTATTATTATTATTAAAATTAAGTTTCTTCGCAAGCTTCTTCTTCTTATCGTATCGAAGCATACGCCACAATGCCTGCCGCCGTTGTGAAAGGGTTCGCCAATCGGTGTAAAGTATTCGCCAATCGGGGCAAAGTACCCGCCGTTCGGGGCAAAGTACCCGCCGATTGTTGCCCAAGGCGCGCCAGACGCACAGGAAAGGAATGGCACGTCGTGAGGGGAGACTCCTTTGTGCACTAAGCCAACAACTCATCGAGACCAATTTCATGAACCAAACAGTAACATGATAGACTTGTGCAATGTGCAGTCTGTACTGGTTGCATTAGATCAAGCTTGCCATATTATTGTAACATCCTAATATTAATATTAATATTATTTCCATAGTATACCAAATTGCAACTTGATTCAACAAGTGGAAATAAAATAAGTATTCATTTTATAACTGAGATCCCTACACTAGCTGGGGAACAAGCTGATGATCTTAGAACAGCTGAACTGATGTTTATCGAACATAGCCTATAACCCTCCTGAGTAAATTAGACTTCAACTAAAAAAAGACATACAACCAGACACAAAGATGTACAGATAAAGTCTTCAAACTTAAACTCCCTTCTGCGTCTGAGGTTAAAAATAGAATGTGTCAATAACCATTATTATTGTGAAATTTTTATCATTTAATCAATCATGTTGCTTCTTTTATTGTCTGACACACATACTTGCAGCTGTGTTCTCTTTATATGAAATCTGTGATGATAAAATGTCTCAAAGAGTCATTTTACGTTATGTTGATATCAGATACATCCACCAATATTTTGCTGCTTTCATGGAGTAATGGCATAAACCAAAATAGTTAATTTTTAAACTTCTGCAGCTGTATGTATTCAGAATATATAAATAATGATGTGAAAATATAGGATCATTATACGATTTATTGACTTTTGGCAAAATATGAATATTCACCGGTTTTTAAAACATTCTTTCTAATTAATAAGGTGTTTTAGAGAGGCCGGGACTGCAGAAGGCCATTGATATGTTGATAACTTATATATACTATATTTATCTCTGTTTTGGTTAAAATGTATTTAAAAGAAAGTTATTATATTAACAAAATAAAGAAACAAACAAATAGACCTTCTCAGGGTTTTAACGTATTTTTCTTTAAATGGAATGACCTGTTTGTCACCATGTGTCTGAAAGTCATATTAGGGTGACTTATTCAGGGTCTATACAATCCTTGAACACTTTTTGATCTTCATTATTACAATCAGAGGTACAACTAACAGAACGAAAAGGATTTCTTCGAGGATTTCCTTAGCTTCCTTATAAATACTTGCATTTTATATCTACCACTGCCTAAACTGTCTCCGTGACCGAACAATCACCACGTTGAACTGCCGCGCAGAGGTTCCTGGTTCGATTCCCGGGCCGGGAGAACCATAGATATAGAGAGGCATAGAAACCATTCGGCCACGGAGGCAGTCATTTTATTGCAAGTGTGAAGATTATTGCAAACTCATACATAATGGGTGAATATTTCATTTGAGGCAAATTAGATAAACAAAAATTAAAAATTTTTTCTTTGCATTTGGTTATAATCGTAGCCAGTATTTATCAAGTAAGTATTATTGGTCTGTTCAAAACTAAAGGCCTCTACACAAAACCTCATCTGCGACTTGTTAAAAGTGTCAACTCATTGACAAGTATTTACCTTCCCGCCCGGGTAAAATAATGTACTGTACAGATCTACTCCAGCAATTATCACTATGATAACTCAAATTTGTCAATTTTGCTTTGTCAATCTATTGTCAATTATGCCAAGGTGGCAAATCATTGAGCTAATTTATGGAAAAAATTCTCACAGGACATTGGTGAAATCGCCATTTTTTTTGTATAATTTTTATAATAATATTAAACTACCGTACATAGTTATTTTTACTTGACATTGGCAAAATCATTGATTATTTCGATGGAGCCATAACATTTAAAAGAAGAAGAGCTAATTTATATTATATTCAAAAATAAGCAACAGCTTATATCACTATAGTAAAAAAATCATTAATAATATGTTTGAAAACTAAAATTATCACAAGTTTCCCTTTCATAGTCTCTGGCGAAAAGTTGCAATTTTTAAGTTAGCATAGTGTTAATTGCTGGTATCGAGATGGTTAACAATGAATTGTGGTTTCAGCAAGTCATACCAACCAACTCCAGATTACTAGATAGATATTGGTAATGATTACGTTTTCAATGCAGGAGTCATCTTTTTCTTCTAATCACATTGATGGCATACACTCTATTATTGTAGGCAAGAAATTAGCAACATAACCCATTCCATTAGTAACTGCCACACTGAAGGTTGTATTTGCCATCATAGAAAAAGAATGACTTCACAGGCCTATTAGTTTGCATTGTGGGTGCTAGATGAGAACCCAGGTTCGATTCCTCGTAGAACCAATTTGTGAAGCCAAATTTTCTACATTGATTCTGATTGGGACATTCTAGTTAGTGCTCCTAAATTAATTACATTGCTCTCGTACATGGAATTCTCTAGTTTGAGACCAGGGAATAGGTGTGAAATTTAAAAAAAGATTTAGCATAAGGTACGAGTAAATTTTTAGGCCAGTATTCTCTACTCAATTTCGATGGCACTTTTTATTAGTCAAATATTCAAGTCTATTACTGTGAAATATTAACTCTTAACTTACGGAAGTTAATTGGCCGTCCATAAGAACCGGAAATAAGCCCATTTCGGATCTGCGGCTTCCACAAAGGAAAAGTTAATATTACAGGAATATGCACACAAATATTAAGTAACACTTCAGGATAAAATTCAAGAATATTCAAATAATAGAAATTGCCACCGAAATTAAATAAGGAAAAGTAACCTAAAAATTACCCATACTCACTGATTGTTTCCCAGGAGGTGCCAGACGTATAGGTGACATGAATAATACTCCAGAGAGGCTACCAGTGGCAGTGCTAGGCATGTCACTATCTCAACTACAATTTTCTATTGGTGATGTTGTTGTGAATTACCTATCAATATACATTTTGCTAAATAAAACAATCTTCAAACTGTTTATCTAATTTAAAGTTAATTTATGGTTCGAATATTCTGGGAAATTAACATTGATAAAGAAATGTTCAAACATGTGTTCCAAATAAACATGTTTATTCAAAAGGCAATTTTGTTAAACGTCTTGTGTAAAACATATATTTTTACATTATATTTTATCTGCATTGTTTTAAGAGATACGAAGGAATAAACTACGCATAACAAACTTTATTTATTACGCTCACAGGCAGCATTCAACGAAAATACATAAACAAAAAAATTTGAACTAATATTTTCTTCTTCGAACTTCGAAACATGTAATTAAATTGTAAACAATATTACCGGAAAACGGTTTCAAAAGGACGTAAAGCACGATTACCAATAAGACCTTCAAGTTTCTTAGCGGACTTACCCATTTTGTAGTTCCAATGCATTTGCACGGCTGCACCCACGCCGCCAGCCTGTCGTCTGCCTCCGTGGCGAAGCACACCCAACAGGACTTCACGTTATCCTCATCCGCTGCCTGTAAAGCCTGGGAACTCCCCACACTAGTCTCGGGAGCAGTTGATTTTTCACTCGACATCGTCAACTACGTCTTCAACATACAACACTAAAAATCACTCTAAACGTAGAAACCTTAACACTATTTTGTATTGCAATGCTGCTAAACCTAGACGGATACTATTGAATTATCGCGGATTAATAAAAACAAAAACATTAAATTCCGCGTATTCGATAAAAATACTTTCGTAAAAATGTCCCCAACACAGCTGTTTTCTTCATGACATGACGGATGAATGAATGGAATGGTTTTGGTTTTGATTTGAAGTGAATGAGGTCCATGTTTTTAAATGACGGAAAATTTATAGACTCACGTAGATGTCAACGAATTCTCGCATCATTTTTTTTTATTGTCTTTCACTTAGCATTAGAAAGAGACAGCGTTAGTGAAAACCACGTGAAGACCGTACATTAAAGACGAGAAATGAAATGAATGAATCTCAATCGAAATTTGAATTCTTGGTACCAATGATTCGGCTACATAAAAAACTATTACAATCATAAAGCTACGGCTACATCAGCAAATATTTCTGTCACTTGGTACTCTGTTTTTTTTTTTCATGTGTTAATAATTGCTTATTGTTTAGTTTCCGAGTAAGAACTTTTCTATTTTATTATTCGAAATGTATAAATGTTGATAAAGAAAGTAACCAAAGTAGTTTAAGGACCTACTAGCGGTGCTACACTTTAAAGAAATGAACAATGACAGCACTAGAATTCAAATGCCAGTGCAGATAAAAAGGGAAAATGGTCATATGAATCCACAAAAAATTGTTCATTCACTACTTCTGAAAGAAATGACATATAAACAAAATAATATGGCAATATTATTAATTAGTGAATAAACACGAAAGCCTTATAATCTTTAATACGTTTAGTTTGTTGTTTTCAGAACTATGTTTTTTTATTAGTTATGAATTATTGCTAGGCGAGTCACCAAAGGAGAAGCGGAAAAAATTGTTTTCCTAGTTCAAATGGTTAAGTAAACACCTAGTTTACTATTAAATAACGGGTTTACAGAAAAATAGGATACACCTAAGGATATTATCTTAAGAATTGGCTTATTCGTTACGCGATAGAATAATTTATCCGATCACATAAAATCCCGAAAACATGCGAAAATGTAAGTCTAAATTAATAAATTAAGAATAAAATTACGTAACTTTGCACAAAAGAGAACTTGCTAAGTTTCGGTTTTCACCTGAAATCTTATAGTTATTACATTCACATTTATCCCAAAACTTGAAAATTGCCCAGCTGTCCCGCAGCATTGAGTGGCGTTCTGGAATACGACCCTTAGAGCATATAGGATAGGAGGTGCCATTAGCCCCAACATTAGGACAGCCCCAACAGCATCCTACAAACTGTAGCTGGTAGGATCACCTCTCCAATGTGGCAATGCTTCGTAAGGAGGGTGATTTAACCAATTGATGATATACAAATATTTACTAACACTAGTTTATAAGGTCCTTTTTTATTTATTATTATTACTAACAAAATATGGAACTTGTTGTCTGAAATAAAAGTATTTTATTTTTTATTTTATTTTTTATTATTAGCGTTATTTCTCGAACAAAACTTTCTGCCACTTTTTGAGATTGGGGTAGTACTACAAACAGGTACACTCAAATGCAATATTGCGTTATGTCACTATGGTCTCACACAAACAAAAATCGACAACACTGGCTTATTTTTACAAATCAAATACACAGATAAAACACACATTAATGTCATGTCCGTACACAGAATAAGCCTATAAAAATAATTCGATTCTCATGAATATACTACAGACGGAAAGTTATCAACGTGACGGTATCGATATGTATTACGTACTATATATGAAAAATGTAATTCCACCCATGGCTGGACCGGATGTAGAGGATTTCTTTGTGCAATTTTGTGAGTAGTGTAACAGTGGTATTGTTTTACTTGTATTTTCTAGAGGAGATTACCCATTGACTTACCAATAAATGGATGATAATAAATACAATCCAATCTAATACAAAAACCGCAAAAAAAAATGTCAAGACTTTTTCCGGCTTTTCGCGGTCAGCGTTGGAGCCAAGCATGACCGGAGTTAACCTATACGAACGTAGTGACATGTATAGAAATATAAAAAAAAACTACAACATTAATTTAAATTGTAAAGTCATTGCAGTATTACTTAATTTTATTTGCCACAATTTGAAGGCCCAAAAACCATCCATATTCAGCTTCTATTGGAAATAACAAAATGCACCATATTTAGTTTCTAATGAAAACTACTTGCACATAAGAGTGGTGGAGTAGTCTAAGGGTCGTATTCCAGAACTCTACTCAATGCTCAAGACAGGACTTGAGTATTGCAGTGAGCACTGAAAATCATACTCAAGTCCTTGCCATTAGAGTCGTATTTCCATTGCTTGAAATCATACTCAAGTCTGCTCAAGTCCTGACTTGAGCATTGAGTAGAGTTCTGGAATACGACCCTTAATGTCAATATTAAGTAATTTTACAGTATTATGTTGAATTTTATACGAATTCACTTCAAGTAATAAGTGTTGTGCAGATATATAGGTATATACACATATTATAAATGTGAAAATAGCTGTTGGTAGTTCTGACGTGCTGTAAGAAATGTGTCGATGTTACGAATACGAATAACGAATTTCTAGATTCAACCTACCCGTGAACTCAAAGTTTCATAATCTCGAAAACCGATATATAATAGAACCGTTTGTAATAAGCAGGGATCGGAATAGGTAGATTTTTTTTACCTAAACTTCGAGGAACATAGATAGAAAATGGAGACTGCATTTCCTCTAATGAAAAATCCCAAACAGACATGACTGCAGTACTAATTAATATGTTTTAGTTTATTCTAATTTTCATTAATAATTAATAATAAATTGAACTTAATAAAAATTCATTCGATAAAATAATTTGTAAAACGTAATATAGCGTAAATTGGAATGTTTTCTTTGTAAAATTAAAAATAAAGTATTTAATTAATAACTATTGTAACTACAGTGAAAAAATAGGGTGGATTGCATCAATATTAGATATAACTGGTTGAAGACTGTACCACCTCAGTCAACCGTGACCATGGGACCTGGAAAGGGCCCGAAACGTCGGTTTGTTTGAAAAAACAAATATACGCGATTTAAATCCGGAAAACTAGTTTCATTTTTGTTAGTTATTTACTACTAACATTTAATAAGACGTAATTTTAAAATTAAGATTGACATTAAATCAACTCTACAGTTTCTTTGTTCTAAATCCTTAGTTCCCAAAGTTGTCCAGATGGACCCCAGGGGTCCACGAAAGACTCGACGGGGGTCGAGTCAAACTCGTTGGCGTGACAAAAAATAATTTGGATATAGAATATGGTACAAATGTAGCTGAAGGGGTCCACCGGAACCAGCTAAATTTTGAAATTGGTCTATGAGAAAAAAAGTCTGGGAACCTCTGTTCTGAATCTAAATATTTCAATCACTTGTGGTTCGAAAATTGAAATTGACGTAACGGGTCTTCTGCCTTTCGCGCATGTCTTGTGTAGGATAAGGAAAGTTATCTATTTGGTTATTTTGATTGCTTTTGTAATTTATGTATATTATATATAAGTATGTACTCACGCATGTACTTTTTTTTCTGACAGTATGGCATGATTTATGATGATTTATATTAAAACAATTACAATTTATTTTTACTATTTATAATTTATGACATTAAGGTCAGGTGGGGTAAGAGGAACACCGGGGGAAGAGGGACTAAAGTCCATAATATCTAAAGTAAAGCATTTAGTACTATAGTCTCTCAATCGATAACACAGACAAACAAATTAGTTTTAACGGTTGTAAAGAGATGTCGGTACGATATTTCAAATTTGAGAGATAGAAAAATAATTGACAGCTGATGCGCGAGATGGGCACGTAATTTTTTCTTGGCTAGATCTTGGTGAAAAAAAGTGCTGGAGATTATTTTTATAGAAAAACACGTAGAGAAAATGGTAAGCTTTACTTTTTATTGGTTATTGACATATACAGACTATAAACAACAAATAATACGAGTTTCATTGGAATAAAAATCCTAGCCGTCAAAAACATTGTTGGAGTAAGAGGGTCTAGTACTTATGGGATAAGAGGAACATATGTTCCTCTTCAAATTCCGGTAGTAGATTTTTTCCGTCAGGAATTTTTAGAAAATTTTATACTTTAGTGGAAAACTAAAAAAAATTACATAATACCTAAATGAATGACGTAATCTAAGCATTTCAGGGAGCACTTGACGCGGTGAATCCGATAATGCAAATGAAAAAACATCGATTTGAAAGTAATGTTTATTGTGCGATGATTGTTTTGTGCTTGTACCTTGACAGAGGGGATTGCCTATTAATGACGCCCCAGTCCTATATGCCCTAAGATTTCACTGAACTATTATTATAGTGTATTGGCATTACGGCCGACGCTGCAACAGTTGTACCGCGCAAGGATTAATTATTGGGCCTCACATTGTATCAATGTAAACATGCCCTTACTTCTAGATTGTCTTGTCTAATCTTTTTATTTATGAAATTTAGTTTAGGTTAATGCCCTTATTGCCAAAGCCAATAAATTAAAAAAAAGTTGTCTTGTCTAATAGTAGTTTGTGTTGTCTATGTCTACGTTTGACGTCACTCACTCACGTCCACTCACGTCACTCACGTTGTGAAAGTGATTATATGAATAAAATAAAGTTTAATCGTGTACGTGATTTATTTAATGATGAATGATAAAATTGTTGCTTGATTAGTTTAATAAAGAAACTTTATCTATTTTGGTGAATTAAGTGCAGTTTATTACTGGAAGCAAGATATCGAGGTTGGTAACTATGGGAAAATTGTATGAAATTTCATGTATATATTTTCCGAAAATTTATTATTATTGTAAATGGTAATATTGAGTAAGTAGACCCTATAATGTACACGCGTTGAACATATTTTGAAAGTTTTAAAGTTTCTTGACACTTTGGGATGTCGCAACTGAAGATTTTATTCGGACTTTACGTAACTGTACTTACGGGTCATTTTTCTAGAATAACCTGTTTAATTTACCAACAATCTTATTTAGGATAATATTTCGTAATATACGTAAGTGATTACATATTGGAGTTTTAAATTTGTTGTCGAAAATAAGACCAATTATTACGTGAAAGCTTACGTTCCTTAGTTACACATTAAATAAATGGCGAGATTTTATGGTTACACTTTTTAAACTAATAGATTTTTAGTTTACGTGTATTACTTTTTGAGCTGGCTTTATAGCCAATGCTCAATAAATAATTAATATTAATAAAAGTTATACATTGATACTAACATTAATTACTGTCACTTGATATTATTAAAAAAAATTGTACACATTGGCCACCAATCTACAAGTTATTTTAACTTGTACGTACTAAAATTTATTTGTGAAAATATAAGTCCTGTTAGATGAAGAAATATTCAAATAATAATAATAATAATAATAATAACGTATACACTCAACATAGCCCCGCACTAGGGATACCCTGTGTCGCGGGTGCCATGGACACACACGTAGACAACCACAAATTACACCCAAACTCACGAGAGAAATAAATGTAGGCCATACAAATATTTCTCCCGACCCGGGAATCGAACCTGGGACCTCTGCATGGCAGTCTGGCATGGTAACCGTTCGGCCACGGAGGCAGTTATGTTATAGTTATAATTATAAAAGACAGCTATTATTATTATTATTTTTATTATATGTTTTTTGTTGATTTAATGTATTTTGGATAGTACAAACAATGAGGCAACACACTAGGTCAATATTGTTGTAAAATAAAAACAATTGACATGATAAGTTGAAGAATGTATTTAAAGTTCATTTAATTAACCGACTTAAAAAAAGGAGGAGGTTCTCAATTCAACTGTAACTTTTTTGTGTGCATGTTACTTGATTATTCCTGGAATTAGTGAACTAATTTTGATGATTCTATTTATTTAAAGACATGTTCATATCTATTTAACATAATTTATTTGACCTTAACAAAAATGCCTAATTAAGAGAATGAGGCTCTTTGAAACATTCTATGATATGAATTTTTACTATATGGGGACTTAAGGCAAAGAATTGCCTCTCACCTACAGATTCACCTTCTTATAATTTAGGCTCTTTACATGATAAATATTTGAATTAAACTTTTTTCTCTTAAATAACATACTATACATAGAAATCAGCGTGTGAAAAAAATTGCATTAGAACTATGAAACTATGTGATGTTCCCAATGGGAGTCTCTGTTTTCTTGTAGTTGACTGTGTTAGACTACCTTGCTCCACTTTATACACTTGGTAGCAGTAGGTTCCTTGTGAAAGAGTTTGTCCAGGGAAGCACTGCCACTATGCCTATTTCTACCGCCAAGCAAGTAAATGGATGATAGAAGTAAGAAGTACATCCTTTTAAAATAACTATACCCACTATCCTGAATAGATTAATTTCTGACACAGGGTTTCCCTAGTGCTATGAGTGTGTTTGTGTACGACAATACTAAGTAAATTACAATCAAAAACAATATTATTATCACTAAACATGTGTCTCTAGTGAAATAACAGAATAAGATAAAACCCAGCACTTTTAACTGACATTGAAATGTAAAATAACTGATAAAATGAACTTGCAAATATTTTAATTATCTTATCTCTTTTAGTTTATTTTATGTACTATATAAAGTGTAATGTGGTTGATTGTTATTATTAGGGTGAGTTATTCAGGGTCCATGCAACAGTTTCTTCGCTGAGCCCAGACAGAAGACTAATAGACTTAAAGAAATGTAGGATTTTCTCTGCTCTGCTGGATGCTGGATGTTTCAGTTAGGCAGAGTAGAGGCATCTCATCTGCTTGATAGCAGAACCTATAATCTCTCTTTTCACGTAGCCTCAGATTGATTGGATTGGACTTTGGATTTGCTTATTGAAACTGCAGTGTCCTAACATATTTTCGGTTTAGCTCTTCACATTTTGAGTTGTAGCTCATGTTAGTTGCGTTAAATCATAATAATTATCAAAAAGGTAGACAATATGCATGACGATAGATAGGTAGACATTATGATGTTAGCCTAATATAGCGGGTAGCATAATGATTTGACCTACTGCCTCACAAGCAGAGGGTTGTAGATTCAAATCTAGGCTTGCGTTTTCAGTACCTCTGAGTTTTCAGAATTAATGTGCATAATTTAATTTGAAATTTATCACGAACTTTACGATGAAAAAATCATCGTGAGGAAATCTGCACACATCTGCAAAGCAATTTAATGATGTGTGTGAACCCTTGGACCCATGTAGGTACTACAGCCCAAGCCCTCTTAGGTTGCTAACAGATTGACTGCATGTTTGCAGTTACAGCGTGAAGTCGTAATCAACTTCATGCAGTCGTGGTCTCGGCTGCACGAAATTGATTACGACTTAACGCATTAACTACAAACATGCAGTCAATCTGTTGGCTGCTATCGAGACCTCGACTGCATGAAGTTGATAACGACTTCACGCATTAACTGCATGAAGTCGAAACCGACGAAGTCGAGGTCTCGGCTGCATGAAGTTGATTATGACTACACGCATTAATTGCAAACATGGAGTCAATCTGTTAGCAACCTTATTGTGAGGTGAGGCTTTTGCCCGGCATTGTGAGTAAATATAAGCTGAGTATTATTATTTTTCATAAGACAATAAATAGAGTTGTCCCAATTGAGTGAGACGCATGATCTTCAAAAACAATTTCAGATACGATCGTGAGTAGGTAATGTGAAGGTCGCATATCGGTCTGCGTACCTTCTCGCTCTACGGCAGCTGGCCATATCCTCAAGGCTATTTTTCAATCTCTTAATAATCAATTCAAAGTAATGCTCGGTTTATTTATATTCTTGACGCACTTACCTAGTAAGTAAACTTCAAATTGATACCATCCAAAATTCCTAGCATAAGTTTTGTAGTAATTTTAAACCAATAATATTATACTGCGATATCGTAGCACTTATGAGTAAAGCAACCAACGCTGTAATCTCCAATTTGAGCATATCTTATCTTACAAACTCTTCGTATGTTAGTGAACTAAATAGAAATCTATAATTGTAACTTATTTAAAAAAAAATACCTCAAAAGTTCTTGAAATTGCACCTATTTGCCAAGTTTTATTGAAATCGGTTACCGGAAAGTACGCGAAACCGGATTCATCACGGGATAAATCCAAAAACTAGGGAGTTTGCGGATTCATCACGGGATAAATCCGAATACAAGGGAGTTTGCCACCCTTTGAAGGTGGTATTTCCTTCAAATTTAAATGGGACCAACACTGGGGTTTCCTCTTTCCAACGAAAAATAATCATCAAAATCGGTTCACAAATTCCGGAGTTATCGCGTAACCACAGATTACAGAATATAGCGTAACATATGTAAAAATCGCGAGTCCATACATGCAAAAAATAATCCTTTTTTTATGTCGGTTAATAATAACGCTATGTCAATTAATTTGCTATTGTAACTGATTTGATAAAACAATATAGTAATGAGTCGTAATAATAAGTGCACAATATAAAACAAGTTTATCATTATTATTACAGGTTAAATTACTATAAATTGAACATTATCTGAATGCAATAAACTACATTTTACAACAAGGAATATGCATAGTATTTCTTTAGGGTTTTATTTGCTCTTCAGTATGTAGTACTTGAGTATTCATAGCGTTGACTTTACCGCCTATGCAATGCTATAAAAATAGTAAGATGATATTTTTAAATAAAGCATCGTTTGAATATGAAACATCCTTAAAAAATATTGCCTTTTATACCGCCAGATGGCGTTGATTATTGTTGCTTTGTTTCCTAAATCCAAATATAACACCGTTATAATTGGCTGCTGATCAGCAACAGTCAGTCAAAGTCAAAGAATCATTTATAGGTATAAAATGAATTTACACTTGAAAACTTCACATTTAAGCTACTGCTCGTTCACTACGCTGACATACCTGAGAAGAACGAGCAAGAAACTCTGGGATTGGCCTTTTCAAATAAACTTAAATGCAAACATGAATCTAGGGCCATGTCGTCTGTCCATATTACTGACACGTAGTTTTCAATTTAGTAATATGACTTTTCAATCAAAATATTGTTAATGTAGGTTTTAAACTTAGGAAATGATAATCTTAATATATGCTCCGGAATCATATTGTAAAAACGTAAGTATAGTTCCCCATAAAAGAGTCGTTTAACTTGGTTAAACGAAATCGTGGTACCATGAGTTTGGATTTAGCTCCAAGGTTAATATTTTGGATATCTTCTTTCTTATTGAAATTACGTGTATTTTCTTAAATTGTATTATTTTTGAAAAACCTGTTAACCCACAAAAACACGAATATATGAATCCCTAATTGTTGCTTATCGTCTCGTCTAAATTTTACAAACGTAAACTAGGTGATTTGAAACCTCCAAATAATAAAAAATGGTAAAAACAGTTGACATAAATCCATTAGCCTAAAATACTTTAGGCGCCATTTTCTCAAAACTATGACCATGTGGGTTGACACGTTATTGCTTATCATCATCCAATTTTCCCCGTTGACCGACAGGTGAGCACACAGACATATTTTGATAACGTCTGTGGGTGAGCTTGTTGTTAGGAAATCAGTCCGTGTACGTGAAATAATACAGTGTGACAATAAAATATGGTGTAATAATGATTACATCTTTTAGATCCAGTAATAATTTGTTATGAAAAAACAATATTTTTACAATATGCATTGCGAGTACGCGGCGATGTGCACGTACGTTGTTTCGGCAGGCAACCTAAACCGTCGTGAGATC